GTTGCAACCTTTCGTGGCCCCCTCGCTGCCCTTCGTGGCCCGGTTGCAGCCCTTCGTGGCCCCCTCGCCGCCCTTCGCGGCCCCGTCGCAGCCCTTCGTGGCCCCCTCGCTGCCCTCCCTGGCCCCGTTGCAGCCCCTCGTGGCCTTCTCGCTGCCCACCGCGGCCCCGTCACAACCCTTCGTGGCCCCCTCGCTGCCCTTCGCGGCCCCGTTGCAGCCCTTCGCGGCCCCTCGCTGCTTTTCGTGGCCCCACAGATGCACGCCCTTCGTGGCCCCCGCTCGTTCGCGCCCGTCGCGGCCCCATACGCATGTCCTTCGTGGCCCCGCCGTCGCCTTTCGCGCCCCCCATCACTGCCCTACGTGGCCCCGTCGCTGCTCTGAGTGGCCCCGTCCTTGACCTCCGCGGCCCGATGTACGCATACATTTGTGGCCACCGCTCTTTCGCGCCCGTCGCGGCCCCACGCGCATGCACGATGTGGCCCCGCTGTCGCCCTTTGCAGCCCCCTCGTTGTCCTGCGCGGCCCAGTTGCTACCCCCAGTGGCCCCGTCATTGCCCTCTGTGGCCCAGCATTATCTGCCCTTCGTGGCCCCCGCTCGTTCGCGCTCTCCGTGGCCCCATACGCATTCCCAATGTGTCCCCGCTGTCGCCCTTCGTGGCCTACTTCGTGCCCTTCGTGGCCCTGCTGTCGAAAACTGTCTCGCTCTCGCTTTCGCTCGTCGTCGTCGTCGCCGCCGTCGTCGTCGTCGTCGTCGTTGCGGTCGGTCCCCTGTCCGTCCCTCTTGGGGTCGGGTTGCCGCCGATCAGCGATGCCGCTGGCCAGGCCGACGGTCCGCGGCCGCCCCGCCGCTTGCCGGGGCCCGGCCTGCAGGGAAGAAAAGTATACCCGCCAAAAATGGGTACGATCGAAGACGAAAAAGGCGGGCATCGAGGGTTTGGCATATACGCCTTTACGGACACTCGAGCAGATAAGAGCGAACAGTTTAAAAATGTGTGTCGTTGTTGTTGTTGTTGTTGTTGTTGTTGTTGTTGTTGGTGTTGTTGTTGTTGTTGTTGTTGTTGTTGTTGTTGTTGTTGTTAGTGTTCTTGTTTTTGATGTTGCTGTTAGTATTGTTGTTAGTGCTGTTGTTGTTGTTGTTGGGGGGGCGGCGGCCCCGGTGGCGTGGCAGCTCCCTGTTCAACAACAACAGCAACAACAACAACAACAACCACCACCACCATCACTACCACCTTAACAACAGCAGCAGCAACACCAACAAAACCGGCAACACCTGACGCATGGGACTCACAATTGTTCATTGTGTTTGCGGCTGCCCGGTAGGCCGTGGGGTACATTAGGCCGTCAGCCACGTTTCCTGTTTGGTTCGTACCCTTTTCTGGTCCCCCGTCCATCGTGTATAGTGTTTCAATTCCTGCTGGAAGAAGAGGATAGGAGGGGGGAGACATTCCCTTTGTATTATTGAGGGCCTGCTGCGCTCCTAGTGGAAGCGGGGGAAGGTAGGGGAAAGAAATTCGTATTGCATTAGTATTGTGTTCCGATTGTACTCCGAATGTGCTCCTCCTCTTAGAGACGGAGGAGGGGCGGAAGGAGGGAGGGGAGAATCATTCCGAATCCCAAAATACCCTCTCCCCTCCCCCCCATCCTGCCTCCTCCTCCTCCCTTTCCTCTCTTCCTCCCTCCGCCACATTGTATTGAATTGCATCGCGTTGCCTCACATTGCGCTGCGGTGCCTTACATTGCATTGCATTGCCTTGAACTGGCTTGCTTTACATTGCTGTGCATTGCATGTTGTTGCATCGCACTACATCGCATTTGCATTGCGTTTGGGCTTCGTCTAGGCCGTCGGCCTAGACGGGGCCCAAGGGTCGGAGTGAGTACGTTGCACTGCATTGCATTGCGATGCATCCGGTTGTATTGCATCACGTCGCATTTGTGTTGAATTTGGGCCCCGCCTGAGCCCTCGGTTTCGAGGGTCTCAAGGGTCGGAAGAAGGGAAGGAGGGGGGACTTCCTGTGGCTCTCGTATCGCATTCCTGCTGTGGCACTATTGTGTTCTGATTAGAGGAGGGGGAGGAGGAGGAGGAGGAGGAGGAGGAGGAGGAGGAGGAGGAGAAAGAGGAGGAGGAGGAGGAGGCAGAGGAGGGGGGGGGGAGGAGGAGGAAGCGGCGGAGGAGGGGGAGGAGAAGGGAGGGGAAACCATTCCTCTTGCATTCATATTGCAACCCTCTTTGGGGGGGAAGGAAGTTTACGCACTGTATTGCTATTGCATTCCTGTTGGAAAAGGAAGGGAGGGGATAACAATAGGGATAAGGGAAAATCCTCTTGTATTACCTTTGGATTCCTCGTGCATTCGTGCTGGAAGAAGAGGGAGGACGGGCGGGTGGAGGAATCCTTGTTATTTGTCTAGTGCATTCCCTTCGTGCCCCAATTGGAAAAAGGAGGAGCGCGATAGGAGGATGTTTCAATAGTGCGTTCCCAATATGATTTTCTTGGAAGGGAAGGGAAAAGGGGAGAGAAGACTCCCCTTGTATTCCGATGTGGTTCACAGTGTGTTCCCAGCGGGTGGGGGGGGGGGGGGGGGAAATCAATACACAAGGAACCCGTGTCAAAAGGGCCCTAGGGCCCATCGGCCGCCCTAGAGAAACGTTGGAGGAGGGGTGGTCACTCCCCATTCCCATGCCCCCTCCCCCCTCCTCCCCCGGATTCCTTCTGTGGAAGCTGAAACACAAGATTCCCGTGGCGATTACAGAGACAAGGAGGGGGATACATACAGCGAGAAAGAGAGAGAGAGAGAGAGAGAAAAAAAACCAAAAACACACAAAAACAAAAACAAAAAAAAAAAAAAAAAAAAAAAAAAAAAAAAAACACCACCACCACCACCACCTCCACCACCACCACCACAACAACAACAACAACAACAACAACAACAACAACAACAATCACTTTACCCGAACGCTCAGTGTTCTCACCAGTGCCAGGGTTTTCATGCGACGCCAGCCAATACCCCCACTTTGTGGGGGGGCAGTGCAAGCTCTACCAAATATCCACACGACTCTTCGCCACCACCCACACCCAGCTTCCCGCCCTATGACGTTCGGACACTTCACTTCGTGGCCTGCGGACGACCGTGGCTACTACACTGGCGTGGAGTACACACCCACAGAAGTTGTTAAGCCTACGTTCGTACACCCACAGAAGTTGTTAAGCCTTGTTAACCCACAGAAGTTGTTAAGCCTTCCACAGAACATCTGTTGCATATGATGCATATGATACATGCGCGGTGCTAAAATTCTTAAGAAGCCCAATGGTTTTTGGAGATTTCGGCGTGCGCGCGCGAAGAAAAAACGAATGTGTCCCGCATGGTATTATTTGACAGGGATGATGGCCCTGGCAGGTGCGCAACCGTTGTCGCAGAAGTTCGAAAAAGTTGCTCGCAAAAGCCCGTTTGACAGAAATGTTTAAAAAGTGTTGGGTTTCCTACGAATCCGCAAGAGCGCGCGGGATGAGATTTTGACAATTTTTTGTTGAAAAAACCATTGGTTTTTTGATGTTTTTATGTTAAAATCGTCGCGAACACTAAGGTTTTGGAAGGATTTCGTCTTGCGCGCGCGAATGTCCACTTTACCTTATTTTTTGCAAGGGATTCTTGAAATTTGATTATATTAGAACAAGAAATGTCATTTTCTATTGTTTTTTGCAAGGGAAAGCGGATTACAACAAAACAACCGGATCCTGTACACACCCTCTTTTCTGAGGCTTCCTCACGAAAATGATGAAAATGTAGCTGCGGCCTAGGCGGCGCAGGGGGGGCGCGCACCAGGGGGCCCAACAATAATTATTCTTTAGAATAAATAATGTTCAACAACAACAACAACAACAACAACAACAACAATCAATTAAGACTGGGGACACTCCGTTCTCACCAGTGCCAGGGTTTTCATAGGAGGCGGGCAATACCCCCACTTTGTGGGGGGGCCGGTTCAAGCTCTACCAAATTTCCAAACGACTCTTCGCCACCACCCACACCCAGCTTCCCGCCCTATGACGTTCGGACACTTCACTTCGTGGCATGCGGACGACCGTGGCTACTATTCAGGGCCCCGCGGCCGACGACGACGGCGTGCGCGCGCGAAGAAAAAACGAATGTGTCCCGCATGGTATTATTTGACAGGGATGATGGCCCTGGCAGGTGCGCAACCGTTGTTGCAGAAGTTCGAAAAAGTTGCTCGCAAAAGCCCGTTTGACAGAAATGTTTAAAAAGTGTTGGGTTTCCTACGAATCCGCAAGAGCGCGCGGGATGAGATTTTGACAATTTTTTGTTGAAAAACCATTGGTTTTTTGATGTTTTTATGTTAAAATCGCTGCGAACACTAAGGTTTTGGAAGGATTTCGTCTTGCGCGCGCGAATGTCCACTTTACCTTATTTTTTGCAAGGGATTCTTGAAATTTGATTATATTAGAACAAGAAATGTCATTTTCTATTGTTTTTTGCAAGGGAAAGCGGATTACAACAAAACAACCGGATCCTGTACACACCCTCTTTTCTGAGGCTTCCTCACGAAAATGATGAAAATGTAGCTGCGGCCTAGGCGGCGCAGGGGGGGCGCGCACCAGGGGGCCCAACAATAATTATTCTTTAGAATAAATAATGTTCAACAACAACAACAACAACAACAACAACAACAACAACAACAACAACAACAACAACAACAACAACAACAACAATAACAAAACGAAAAATATATATCCTCAAATAGTCTCAAGATTACCCTTTTACGCGGGAGGGGGGCGGGCGGCGGGGACGGGGGGAGGAGGGACGCGGCAAGGGAGGGGACGCGGGGAGACAGCATGACCATCATCTACGTGCACTCTGCAAACAACCGCTGGAACTCCCTGGCACGGGGCAGCCATGAGACGGAAAGAAGGATGAGGCCAAGACCGGGAACGACGACGTTGACTGCCCTCAACGCGGGCGGGGCGGCAGCGAGCGGGGGCACATGGCCTTCTGGACGACCGCGTCCCGTAGGGTCCTGCGTAAACGGTCATCCTCTTCATCCGCTGCTCTTCCTCATCCAACTCCCCTCCCTTCTCCTCCAACAGTTCCTCCTCCTCCTCCTCCACATCCTCGCAAATCTCCTCCTCATCATATTCCTCCACTTCTTCCTTCACCTCCACTCCAAGATTATGAATCCTCCCACCTACTCCACCTCTTCTTTTTCCTTCCCCTCCTCCTCCTTTTTCGTCCTCCTTCTCTATCTCACGTTGCGGCCAAGAGCGGGGCTAAACAGCACCCTCTGCCCGAGGCAGCGATCAGGGAATCTATATCGCGCTCGGCTCGTGTCGCCGAACATGTGGCGATCCTGGCTGCTAATATTATCCCGCGCTGGCCTCGTCTCGACCAGACGGGGTGCCACACTGTCGGCCCAAGAAATGCCAGCCTGCTCCTGGACATGCCCACCAATGGTCTAGGGCGCACGGCGGGTTGGGCAGTGGGCGCACTGTCCCTGGGGGGAAACACAGCCAGGTCAATGCGCGCGGCAGCATGGTGCTCCCCCTTGGTAGGTGTTCCAGGCACTGCAAGATCCAGCTCAGCACCTTGCGTTCCCTTGGTCGTTCGTGCTTTGTCGTGGACTGCTCCGACGAGTCAATTGATTTTGCTGCCAGAATTACAAGTGCTGGGGCCGACGGGGCAGAGACTCCCTCAGCGCGCAGCCTCTTCGGGGATTGTGAGCGGCGAAGCCAATGGTTTGCACTGGACGGGGATCGCCGATTCTTTGGGCCACGCGGGCCACCTGGCGCAACATGACATTGTCATAACATGTACCTACATCCTAAAGAACCTCCGTCCAAGAAAACGCCTGGATCGTGGCCTTTGCAAGCCGGACCTGTCGGATCAAGGCGGCACGGAGCGAAGAACCGCCACGCAATGCTGGGATCTTGACGCATTCCACTCAGGCACCTCCCACTTCTACCTGACTCATGTGAACTAACTGCACCAGATTTAGCAAGATTTGTGGAGGCCACGCACCTGCCTTCTCAACTTCTCCGAAAACCTGGAGAAAGTCAACTTCTCCGAAAACCTGCAGAAAGTAATCGCGTCCTTCCCGGGAAAGCCACTGCAGCCAATCGGGGATCTGCTGGCATGCGCCCTGAAGGACGACTTTACTTGCTCAGGCACAAACTCGCCCGGGGAGAGCTGAAAGCGAGGATGCAGAACTCACGCCACCAACCAACGGGCTTTTCGAAATGTCGAGACTGCGGGCGCCAAATGGGCTTCCCGACGTTGCGCCTTCTGATCAATGGCCTTGATGGGGCCCCTAATGGTGGAGCCATAGCGGCGCTTCTCCACCGCCAACCCAGGGGCAGCTTCACCCCGAGACTTGGACCAGGCGCGCAGAGCCCCCGCTCCTGTGGACAGACTGTCTCAAAGCCAACGCTGGAAACACTTCTGACTGGCACGCAACAAATGATGCGACAGATTCTTCACCGCACGCTGCAGGCCTTCCAGCTTGACCTTACACGCGCGCATATCCTTGATCCCATATGGGCCTGCCGCGGCCCAACGCTTTCTCTTCGCGCTCGCGCGCGAGGTGCCTCGGAAGGGCCTGCGCGACAGCAAGACCGTCTCCGACCGCCCGCCAAGGCCTGTCCGCGGCCCGCGGGCCCAGCGCCCTTCTCGCGCAAACAAACCAAAACTGCAACACTAGACGACAGCGCCGCCCACGCACTGCGCCCTTTACACCCGGCCCCTCAGCCGAGGCTCGGCAGGCACCACTGGGACCTCGACGGTCTCACATGCCCACCCCCTATGGCGGAAGACGCTGTCGAAGCCAGTCTCGATGTTACGATGCGCGCAGCACCTCAGCTGCCAGGGCGAAAGCCACGTGATTCTTGCTGGGGAATGGCCCTGGGCTGTCCGACGGCAGCGTCTCCTCTGACGAACTGCCCCTCAACCCGCGCCTGGCGCCATTCCCAAAGAAGACCAAGGCTGGTCCCGCGCCGGGAAGGGGGTCCTCTTCGGGAGCGCGATCTCCCGGGCACGCAAGCGGATCTGAATGCCGCGGCGCGGGGCACCCCGCAGGCTGCTCTGGCCCCAACGTAGCCCGACAAATCCCGCAACATCGGTCCTGAAGAGCGCGAAGTCAATGGGGCCGTGTCCACATGGGACTGGATCGGCTGGGCCCATCCACGCACGACGCAAGGATATCTGGGCTCCGACTCACGCATCTCCCGCGTCGGATTGTTCCGATCACCCACAACGATGACAAGGTTCGGCTTGGACTTGGAAGCGCGCGCCCACATCACCCAAGATCTGGAAGCTAGCTCCAGAGAGCCCCGATCCAGCGTCTAGATGCACAGAGACGAAGAGAATGTCCGTTCTCATCGCCCCGGCCGTCGGCTCGCCTGGGCCACCCGCCCAAGGGGCGAATCTCGAAGCGAAAGTTCGTCGTCCAGAGCCAGCGGGTTATGCCGCGGATTTTTTTTCAACTGGGGTAGCCACGCCCCCGCCCCCCGCCCCCAGCAAGTCCTGACGGCGCGCAGAATCAGCCCCCCCGCCCAAACTTCGCCATGCATTTGGGCGCCCGAATCATCCCCCTGCCTCGTGGATGAGTCTCTGCTAGAAAAACAAAGTGCGGCTGCTGCAAAACTCCAGCTTTCCCATTGAAATAGTAGGTCGTCCTCGCCGCCCAGGACGCGACGGCGGCGAAATAAATCACAAGAGGTTCTTCGGCACCCCCTTGCAGAGTTGGGGAGCGATGCTGGCAGTGTCGATGGCGACAGGACTACAGCATCGCCTCCTCGCGCGCGGCCAGCGGGGGCATTGACCACCGCGCCCACGCGCGCCCCGCGTTCAGACCCTCCACGAAGTCCGATCCCAACTGGAGGTTCGAAGCTATCGCAGAAGCTCTCGCAGCCAGGGCCCATCGCTTCTCGTCCTAGGACAAAAAGCCAAATAGGTTCTGCCATCTGCCGTCCCACAGGCCGCACGACCGTCGGAACTCCCTGGAAACTAGCGTCGCGTGCGCTGGGACCGAAACGGAGGCGGCAGTGCACGTCCTCGCTCTTGTCCATACTTGACCACTCTGAGCCCGGCCAACCCTGCATCCTTGAGCTGCGAACGCCCTGCAAAACATCCGGCAAAGCTTGCCAGCATCGCCTGAGATTGCTGCTCCATGGTTGCCCAGAACTGATCCCCGCGCACGCGCTGACCCTGAACTGTGGCTCCGAGCGCCTTAGCTTCATCCGCCTTGGCCCGCTCGAGCTGTTGTTTGGTCTCCACGATCTGATTATGCGCCTCACCGACTGCACCCATAGCCCTCTCGGCGTCGAGGACCTGCCGTTCACCCATGTGCTGCAAGCACACCAGCTTGTCCTTGAGCGCGCGCGCGCGCTGAGCGAAGTACGCCCGCCCCATCGCCCGCGGGGGCCTGCCCCGCTGCCGCGAGCCTGCGGCCGTGCGTCAGCTTGCCCCGCTGACCCTGGCTAAGACTGACGGACACGACTTGAAATTAGCTCCCACCCATGCTGAGCCAATCGGCCAACTCTTCGTCTGTTAGTACAAGCCGATGAGAAGATGCACCTTCTCACCCGCGTCACCCCAGCCCCCGTGAAACGCCCACGGCTGACGCAAGAACTGTCGCGGGGGTCTCTCGTGGACCACGGCGGGGCAATGGTCGGCGGACCTTTGGCCCAACCCCCTTGGGCTTCCACCCTGTCCGATTAATCGGCCGGCTGCTTCCCGCTGGGGCCGTCGGGCCCAAACGAGAAAAACGTTGCTGTGATGCCTCTGTTCCACGCATTGCACGAGCGCCACCCGCAACCGACCATGGAACTGCAAAACAGCGCGCAAAGCCAGAGAACCAAGAATGTACAATACCGAGAATGCCCGGCAACCTCCCCCGCAACCTCCTCCTCATCCTCGTCTGCCTCCAAAGTATCATCCTCCTCCTCCTCCGCCGCCGCCCCTTGCTCCTCCTCCTCCTGATCCTGCCCCTGCCCCTGCTCATGCTGCTCCATTCCTTTTCCTTATAAATGACTTCTCCCTGTCGCACCCCGAGGACAGTTTTTGGGGCGGGCAGGGCGTTCACCTGAGACTTCCTCACCATTCACGAATATGACGTTCAATGGCAAGAGCATCACAAATGGGGCGGGGGGTGGTTTTCAAAACGTGGTTCTCGCCATGGTGCCGCACACATTAGTTTTAAAAATGTGCAAGATCTTCACGGAATGAGGGCTTTTCTTGTTCAAAATGTGGCCCTCGCCTAAGCGCCGCGCACATTCTTTTTTGAAAATGCGGAAAAGATTCACGGATTGAGCGCGGGTGGTGTTCAAAATGTGGCCATCGCCCCAGCGCCGCGCACACTCGTTACATCTCTGTGTATATATATATACACAAACATACATACATATACATATATATATATATATATACATATTTATGTGTGTATATATAAGCGCAGGAGTGCCATTGATTGAGGGCGGGTGGCGTTTTGTTATAATGTGGCTCTCGCTTCAACGCCGCGCGCATTCGTTTTTAAAAATGCACGCCAGTTTCACGGATTGAGGGCGGGTTGTCTTCAAAATGTGGCTCTCGCCTCGGCGCCGCGCACACTCGCCCTAAAAAACTGCCAGAGCTTCACGGAATGAGGGCGGCTCCTTTTCAAAATGTGATTCTCGCATGAGCGCCGCGCGCGCTCGACTTGAGAATGCGCTAGAATTTCGCTGGTTCGCATGATCCACCTACCCGCAATCATGCGTTGGAAGGATTCAGGACTACGCGGGTGCAACAGTTAGGTTGAATTGAGGTGTCGAAGTCCAAAAAAATGCGTTCTGGCACAATTCCAGATCGTCAGGACGCAGCAATCAAGTTGATCTGTGGCGTGGAAATCCAGGGAACAATATTTCGGCATGCTTCAGGGTCTTCAAACGGTTGACTTCCAAGGAGGCAGCTCCGTCAATGGACGCGAGCCGTTGCAGGGGCCCGCGAGGAGGGAGCTTGAAGGGAGGGTGGATTCTAACATCGTTGATG